CCCTCTACGCGTATGCTGTCGGTGCAAGTCATGACTAGCGCGGTTGTATACCTACGTTCGTGCAGCGTTTCGCAGTGTAGTTTTTATTTTATTTTATTTTTTTCCATGGTTGCCTGCTATCGTCTGTATACATGAACTCGGAGGCTCAGTGTAAGTACTGTAAGTACGCACGAATTGCCGTTGCAGTCACGGAGTTAAAGTTGCCGAGAGAAGACGCAGATATTGTCTACTTATAAAATTTCACTTCGTGCAGAGTGTTGACTTTCATATCGGGTATCAAGTGTCTATACCTACTGTATCCATTGCCGCAACAAAGAGGCCTTTTATTTCAGTTTTGGAAAATAATACTTAGTTAAAGCAGTGCAACGATGGGTGTACCAAAGTTTTTTCGCTTTCTGATCGACAGGTATCCATGCATCAGGATAAACATAAAGGAACATGAGGTAAGCGTGCATATTGTAACGAACTATGGTAATTAGCTGACGTAATAATTTGGTCCATACAAGCCTCGTCCACTGGTGTTTAAAAAATTTTTTTTTTTTATTCGGATCAACATTTAAGTACAGAGACTTTTTAAAGTAATTTTGACCAAATAAACACACACTATTTTTGTCGGTGAGTGCGATTTGTAAATGAAATTTTTTGTATTCGTTAATGCGGTGGATAAACAAGAAAAAAAAATATGATATATAAATAAACAGTTCCGTGGTATACTAGCTAAGTTTAAATAAAATTACGTTTACGGTTACGCAGAGTATAAAATTGATTGTGAATAATTGTACTCGCAAGGTGTATGTGCTAAGTGTATGGATAAGACAAGTGAGCATCACCGTGTTCTTATACAGAATGTCCATTGTTTTTCTCGGGACTAAAAATATGAGTTGGTGCGCCGGTGCATGGTATATGATACTGCAGGACTACATGTATGCATACTTATATATGGTGCAAATCTACCTTACGTATACTACTTTCATTAGTGTAGGCATGTTGAAATTTTTTTTTTATAATTAACTATCGTTAAATTTAAATTTATTGCTAATTAAAAAAAACTAAAGCATCAATTTTGATCGAACACAGCTCATTAACTACCTTTTTTAATTTCATGCAATGGCTAATATCAATTTTTGGCACATTAGATAAGCAACAAAGAAGTTTTGTCTACATTTTGGTTCTGTCAAAAAAATGCATTTTTTTCCACAAGTTTTTGCAATAATATACTGTCATTTAGTTTTCATTTTACCGACATTTTGAGCTAACATGCAAACACTACATGATGCTTTATTATTATTTGTATTTTCCAAGATTAATTACGAATGTTGATAAGAAAAAAGTATTCTAGATTTCTTTGATCAAGCACCGGCGTACTGGAACACAAGTTGTATTGTTGGTAATCAAAACATCCATGAGTTTTTAAAGTGATTTTCGCGAAGTACGCAGTACAAAAAAATATCCGTAGCTCTGTTATGTTTGTAATATAAATTTGAAATGTATAAGGTATGAACACATATGCCCGAATTGACGTTGATGTTATTGTTGGGTGTTTTCATTAAAATAATGTAGACGCAGATCATTAGGATGTTTTTATTATTATTTTATTGTTATTAATAGCAATATTATTAAACAAATAACTCATCATGTGACCGTTTATGAAATTAAGAAGAGCTGAAATATCAAAGAAATTTTTTTTAAATGAAGAAAGATGGGAATTCAAAGAATATAATTCAATTTTATTAACCTCGGTTGGGTTATTTATAATTTTAACATTGAGGCCACTGGAGCCACCTTAAGGTACTGAAAAGTGCCCTTGACCGTAGTACCATTTATTTTTACCCTTGAAAAAGTAGCATTGATTTGATGGTGTTTGTGACGTTCAATGATATTTTTCAGCATCTCAACTTGCTAGACCCTTTAATCAGAGTTTGAGTATTTGTTAGTGTCCAATAAGCCTTATATTTTATTTTCCTACAGATATCTTTGTCAGACTGCACGTGGCAACATGTCTTTGCACTAAATAGCTTTTCAAATTTTTTTTTTTTTGTAGCATATTAAAACTTCATATTTTATACACTCATCAATCGTAAAGCAACCATGTAGAATGATAAGGTAATAGTAGCAGTACTGGAACAGTTATTTCGGAGAATCTTTTTTTTGTCAATTTTCAAAAAATTTTTATATTATATAATGACAAAACAGTTGTTCCAACAGTAAGCTGTTTAAGATACTAGTACAATTTTACGTAATCTTCATGTATTGGTACTTTTACCAGTTGAAAATATTCAACACGATCGAAGACTGGAGTTATTCACTGTTAGGTTAGATTTGTTTTTCAAGCAAGCAAAAGAATGTCCCTCCTGTGGACAAAGGTCGCGGCAAACCAGAGAATCTTACTACCTTTGAATTTTTATCAATATTTTATCAGGAATTCTTCGAATTTTTAATACCCCGCTTGCCAACTTTAGCTCTCGGCCCCGGTCACCTCCCAGATCGGCCGGTGATCCTCTTGTACCAAGTTATATACTTACTTCGATTATACTTGGGACGTATCTATGAACAGAATCGACCAATTGACAAAAATCAACCCATCCATTGCATTTACAAGAGAGCCAACTAAACTAATGTTTATAAGGCGGTTGCGAGCCGATTATTTAAGCATGACAACATACTTAATACAAGCTGCAGTGAGCAAACCCGACGTGCCTGTACGCATAAACATAGGTACTGTATTCCACATAAGAATAGGTACTGTGGTACTGTATGCCTGTAATATCTGTATTCGTGTACACGTCACGTCACGATTTTCGCATTTCGTTTGTTATATCCCTCTACGCGTATGCTGTCGGTGCAAGTCATGACTAGCGCGGTTGTATACCTACGTTCGTGCAGCGTTTCGCAGTGTAGTTTTTATTTTATTTTATTTTTTTCCATGGTTGCCTGCTATCGTCTGTATACATGAACTCGGAGGCTCAGTGTAAGTACTGTAAGTACGCACGAATTGCCGTTGCAGTCACGGAGTTAAAGTTGCCGAGAGAAGACGCAGATATTGTCTACTTATAAAATTTCACTTCGTGCAGAGTGTTGACTTTCATATCGGGTATCAAGTGTCTATACCTACTGTATCCATTGCCGCAACAAAGAGGCCTTTTATTTCAGTTTTGGAAAATAATACTTAGTTAAAGCAGTGCAACGATGGGTGTACCAAAGTTTTTTCGCTTTCTGATCGACAGGTATCCATGCATCAGGATAAACATAAAGGAACATGAGGTAAGCGTGCATATTGTAACGAACTATGGTAATTAGCTGACGTAATAATTTGGTCCATACAAGCCTCGTCCACTGGTGTTTAAAAAATTTTTTTTTTTTATTCGGATCAACATTTAAGTACAGAGACTTTTTAAAGTAATTTTGACCAAATAAACACACACTATTTTTGTCGGTGAGTGCGATTTGTAAATGAAATTTTTTGTATTCGTTAATGCGGTGGATAAACAAGAAAAAAAAATATGATATATAAATAAACAGTTCCGTGGTATACTAGCTAAGTTTAAATAAAATTACGTTTACGGTTACGCAGAGTATAAAATTGATTGTGAATAATTGTACTCGCAAGGTGTATGTGCTAAGTGTATGGATAAGACAAGTGAGCATCACCGTGTTCTTATACAGAATGTCCATTGTTTTTCTCGGGACTAAAAATATGAGTTGGTGCGCCGGTGCATGGTATATGATACTGCAGGACTACATGTATGCATACTTATATATGGTGCAAATCTACCTTACGTATACTACTTTCATTAGTGTAGGCATGTTGAAATTTTTTTTTTATAATTAACTATCGTTAAATTTAAATTTATTGCTAATTAAAAAAAACTAAAGCATCAATTTTGATCGAACACAGCTCATTAACTACCTTTTTTAATTTCATGCAATGGCTAATATCAATTTTTGGCACATTAGATAAGCAACAAAGAAGTTTTGTCTACATTTTGGTTCTGTCAAAAAAATGCATTTTTTTCCACAAGTTTTTGCAATAATATACTGTCATTTAGTTTTCATTTTACCGACATTTTGAGCTAACATGCAAACACTACATGATGCTTTATTATTATTTGTATTTTCCAAGATTAATTACGAATGTTGATAAGAAAAAAGTATTCTAGATTTCTTTGATCAAGCACCGGCGTACTGGAACACAAGTTGTATTGTTGGTAATCAAAACATCCATGAGTTTTTAAAGTGATTTTCGCGAAGTACGCAGTACAAAAAAATATCCGTAGCTCTGTTATGTTTGTAATATAAATTTGAAATGTATAAGGTATGAACACATATGCCCGAATTGACGTTGATGTTATTGTTGGGTGTTTTCATTAAAATAATGTAGACGCAGATCATTAGGATGTTTTTATTATTATTTTATTGTTATTAATAGCAATATTATTAAACAAATAACTCATCATGTGACCGTTTATGAAATTAAGAAGAGCTGAAATATCAAAGAAATTTTTTTTAAATGATTTTTTGGCAAATAGAAATAATGTTTGCAAATATTACTTTATTTTTTAGTGTAGGGCCATTTTTTTTCTATGCAAATATTACTTTATTTTTGAATTTGGGACAACTTCATTTCAGTCGTAAGAAATTTTTTCTTAGTTTTTAAAAAAAGCTCTGGGCGAGCTCTTAAAACTTCAGACTCGTAAATCAAACACGAGTAAAACGAACATTCGTTCACTTACTCGATCGTTTTATACAACAGGAAATAATTTTTGAAAATCAGCATATATATGCGAGAACACACGTAAAAACATAGCATTTTCATATTCTAGATACCAACGTATGACAATTTGTATTTGGACATGAATTCCATCATTCACGCATGCTCGCATCCAACGGACGCGGACGTTTACTTCCGCGTCGGCAGAAAGGAATTTTCCGACGAGGACATTTTTCAAAACGTCTCGCGCTACGTGGATTTGATCTTCCGCATCGTCAAGCCTCTGAAGGTGATGTTTTTGGCGTTCGATGGTGTCACACCAAGGGCCAAAATAAATCAGCAACGTGCCACTCGGTTCCGAGTTTCAAAAAAATTTGACGACGACAACGAGCTTGGAGAACAGCAGGAATTGCTCGACACTAATTGTATTACACCCGGCACCACCTTCATGGCCGAGCTGATCGAGCACATGAGACACTTTGTAGCCTACAAAATCTCCACGGATCCTATGTGGCAAGGATGCAAAATTATCCTCAGTGGCCCAGAGGTGAAAGTTTTTTCATTGTTTTTTTATTTATTTATTTACTAATTTGTTTTATTATTATTTTATTTTTTAGGTGCCAGGTGAAGGAGAGCATAAAATCATGCAATACATTAGGTATGAAAAAACTTTGAACACCTACGACTGCAATACAAGACATTGCGTGTACAGTATTGATGCGGACATGATCGTGCTAGGCCTGTGTTGTCGTATCGTACACTTTTCTTTGATCCAAGAAACCATTCGGTTTGGCAAAAGAAAACTTCTCTTGACTCCAGAAGAATCCGAATTTCATTTGTTGCACTTGTGCGTGTTGCGAGAGTATTTGCAAAAAGAGTTCGGATACTTATTCGACGATCGGGGTATTGTGGGATTCGATTCAGAAAAAATCATCGACGACTGGGTGTTACTTGGGTTCTTGGTTGGCAACGATTTTGTACCTCAGTTGCCGAAGTTGAATATAGTGGATGGTGCTCTGCCTTTTTTGTACAAGATCTACGTTGACGTCTTTCCTAATCTGAATGGTAAACAACTCTGAGTTTTTTTTTCATAGACGGTATTTGTATACGAAATTCTATCACAGGGTATATCAATGAATCCGGAGTCCTGAATCTGAAGCGATTCGAGATGTTCTTGAAGTACCTTTTTAGCTTTGAAAAGAAGCTTGAATCCGAGAGCTCAGCTGAAACTCGATTTTTAACTAACTCTAACGATGACGGTGACAAGTTTGCGGACGTTCCATTGAAAACTGCAATAAATTCGGATATTCAAACAAATCTAAGATTGCAAGATTTGAAATTGGATGACTCAGAATGTTCGACAAAGTCAGAATATTACAAAACCAAACTTAAAGTGACAAATTTTGAAGAGTAAGTGAAATTGTTTTTATGGATCGAATATTTTATACATATTGACACATAAAAAATATTGTTTTAGATCAGATGTAAAAGTAATGGTAACCGAATACGTAAGGGCCGTGCAGTGGACGTTGGCTTACTACTATCAAGGATGCATTAGTTGGTCGTGGTATTATCCGTATCATTATGCTCCACACATATGTGACGTAAGGAACGTTCAAAACGTAAGTTTGAAGTTTGAAGGGGGAAAACCCTTTTTACCACTGCAGCACTTGCTGGCGGTATTACCACCTACAAGCAGACACTTGCTGCCAAAAGCATACCAAACTCTCTTAATAAGTGAAACATCTCCGATAATACATTTTTATCCGACTAAATTTGAAATCGATTTAAACGGTAAAACAAATGATTTTGAAGCTATTGTTATTTTACCGTTCATCGATGAAAAGGAACTATTGAGTGGTAGGTTTTTCTTTTTCTTTTATAGATAGCAAATAAAATATGGGGTCAAATTTTATTTTCTGTGTGATGTAAAACAGCGCCACCTGCACGAGGCGATGATGGATACAGGACAATACGATTATACAGCGTGTTATGGGCTGAAAACTTTGTTGTTTTTTTGTAGTTTTAATGCATTTTTGATGCTTATTTTTTTCAAATAGAAAACAATTTTTTGTTACATTATTCATTATTATTTTTTAACTATAAAATAATGGTTGTTATATGTTCAAAACAAATTCTGGACACTGAAAATCGATACTTTAAGTGTCTAAAATGCATTAAAACAACAAAAAACAATTATCAAAGTTTGCAGCTCATAAAAGACTATGTAATCGTGTTATCTGATCGCCTCTTCTTTCCACGCAGGTGGCGCTATTTCAGATTAGTGCACATAGCAAATAGGTACTTGTAATATGATTTTCACAGCTATGGAACCTTACAACAAAAAATTAAGTTCAAAAGACAAAATTCGTAACAAGATGGGTCAAACGTGCATTTTCACTTACACGGAAACCAATTTGGGGAAATATCCGGTTGACACGATGTATGATGATTTCATAAACCATGCTCAGCTTCAACACATTCTATTGGAGGATGTATTTTTATCAGATACCAAGGGATTGGACAAAAAAGCAGATGCTCGTTTGAGATTCCCGGGATTCCCAATAATGGAAAGGCCTTCGTTGTCAACCGTTTCATTTATGAAAAAAGAAGTACGTTGATCTCTTTCATTGAAATGTTTGTGTTTAATAATATTCATTTTTGTTTTTTATTAACAAAAAAAAAAAAAAAAAATGTATTTTTGTCATCAGAAAAATACTATTCCTCGGACGACTGTTGAGTTCATGTACATAAAGTTGAATCATCAATCTCAATGTTCCCTAGATGCATTAGCCAAAAATATTTTGACCAAGACAGTCTATATAAATTGGCCATACTTGCAAGAAGCTTATGCTGTTGGAGTGACCGATTTTAAAAATAAAATCATTCTCAAGGATTATTGGAAAAAATACGCGGAAGATAATATAACATTAAGTAATCCAACTCTCAACGTTGTGCAGAGCTTGAAGAATGATTGCGACTCTATTACTGAAAAGTAAGTTTTGGTGTAAACGTTTAATTTATAATTCTTTAAATGCTCTCGTGGTTTATCAATTTTACATGTTTTTATTTCAAAGATATAAAAATAACATGGGTATCGACATTGGAGAGACAAAAGTGATGGTTTACGTGCTGCCTGCGTTTGGCAAACAGTATGTTTGTGATGCTCGTGGCATCGTAAGAGCAAGAAACAGGTGGAAGTCTGTCTTGGAAGCTCATCCTTACCAAACGTTAGAAAAAAATGTCACGCAAATAGAAAAACCTTTACCTTTCAAATTGCTTAAAGACATTTTTAGCCCTTCGTCAATCTGCTTTTCCATTAGTCATCCTTATTATGGTGCAATGGGAACGGTGATTTAATAACCAACGTAACATAAAATTACGCGAGTTTTTTTTACAAAAACATCAAAGTATAATTTTTTCCAGGTGAAAAATCTGCATCTAGCACAGCAAAAAGTAACCATTACTTTGGCGATGACGAACGAGCCTGATTTTACGTTGTTGGATAAAAAATGTTTTTCCAATAACACGGTCTACATGAGTTCTGGAACAGTTGCTCAAAAGTTGGGCGTCAGCTCAAAATTAATAAACCGTATAAGTGGGTCGGTGTTTGTCAAAGAAGGATCAGATAAATCCAAGTACTTTGATATTGGGCTTCACATGAAGTCCCCAAAATACAACAAGGAAGTACGATATAATACATTTTTTATTTTCCTACAATTTTAGACAAGATTGTTGATGATTCTATTGGTGGTTCTAATAATTTTAGCTCTGTGATTACACGACAAAAAGAAACAATTCTTGGGCGTACAGTGACAAAGCCGTTCAGTTGATCAAAAGCTACATTGAAAAGTTCCCGGATATGTTTCAAAAATTCAAAAGTATGATCTCCTCCGAATCGTTTTTTGTTGCAGATTTTTTTCCGGAAGAGTAGGCACAATTTCAATTTTTAATGATACGAAATGCATAATAACGGAGACGTACAAAATATTTATTGTTTCTAGGGGCCTTAGTGGAATAAACGCTGTCCTTAATTGGATAATGGATCAAACACAACAGTATCCCCCGTTCAAAGATTGTAATACCAAAAGCATTGAATCGGAAGGAGTTGAAAAGCTAGAAAAGTTTGTGGATAATTTTAAAGTCGAAAGGGAAACGATTGACACGACACTTTCCTGTAAAGTGCTGTTCAGACCTGGGACTACTATCGGCCTTGTGTCGCCGGATCCAAAAGCCAACCACAAAATTCTGGATCGCGTTGTTTGCGTCAAAGACAATTTTACGGTTCCTTTAGGATTCAAGGGTACTATAATAGGAAAAAAAGAGAAAGAAAACAAGTATGAAATCATTTACGAAGTTCTCTTCGATTCTTCATTCACAGGTAACTTTTTACATCCGTACATCCGCTTACACATATTTTATGAGATTTATTTGGGGATCAACATTAAATTAACTAAACACAAGTCACCAGTGATGACCCGAATTTACCCGATGCTGACTAAAACACGATAAGTGTTTTTTTTTTTTAATAAAAACGGCCCGCGTAAAAATTTTTACGTTTAGCCAAACTGTCGCCAAAGTTCATGTGGTCAACGATTGGCCAAGCTTGGGCAATAAGAAAATCCCAAACTTTGTATTTTCGTTGGAATATTTTACTCAATATTTTTCGTAAGTCATATATGCAGACCAACTAATATCCTGACGCAACAAATTAATTTTTTAGACGTTTGGATGAACATTTGCTAAACTTGAGTAAAATATTCCAAAAAAAATCCAAGTTTGGGATTTTCTCATCGCCCAAGCTTGGCCACAGTTTGGCCAAATGTTGACCACATGAACTTTTGCGCAAGTTTGGCCAAATTAAAAAATTTTTACGCGGGCCCGTTAGGTTAAGATACGGTAGCTGCAATATTTACATTATTTCTGGCAAACAAAGATGTAAAATTACGTATGTCAATTGGCCTTAAAAATTTACTTACTTGATTTGACCGCGTGATTAACAAAAATAACCGAGTTGGACAGCTTCAAAGTAGCTCTGATTGAGTCCAACGCCGATTGTATGCATGTACTTCAGCGTTTTTTTATAAAATGAAATGTATAAAATTTTATTTAGCATTTTTTAAGGTTACCAACAAAACATTTATCGGAACTATTGGGATATAGATAGATATTTTACATTATCTCTAAGAACGTTTCTGATGAATATCGTAAAGTATATGATCGTACGTATCCATCTAACTGAAAACAGCGTTGCCAGAACAGCACAAATACCCCCTACAGCCCTCAAATACCCCCCCTCTCCTCCAAAGGAAAAATTCCTTTCATTTTTCCGTTATTTTAACGCAATATAATTTTGGTTGGTCCCCCAAAATACCCCTCACAATTTATGTGTTTCTTTTGTTATTAAATACGTTGTCATCAGATAACAATGTAGTTTCTATTTTTTCAAGCTATCCAGAAGATAAATAGATATAATTTTATGCTCATAAATAATAAGAATTATTAATTGATGATTGAATTCAGTTTTCTGTAAAAGCAAATTTGTTTCACTCAGATCATGTTGTTTAAACAATTACATTCACATCAACAAGAGTCAGTGGGCTAGACTGCACAGGGGGGAGGGGCAAAACCCCACTGTAATATGTAGATATCATTATATAAAAAATGGTCTATTTCATATCCCAGTCAGTTATAATAACGAGTAAAAAGGTATTTCGATCTGAAAATAGGCGGATTGACTTAACAAAAAAAAAAAAAAAAAAAAAAAAAAAAAAAAAAAAAAAAAAAAAAAAAAATGTATTTTTGTCATCAGAAAAATACTATTCCTCGGACGACTGTTGAGTTCATGTACATAAAGTTGAATCATCAATCTCAATGTTCCCTAGATGCATTAGCCAAAAATANATCGGTAAAGTTTAAGTGCTTTTAGGCTGCCACCGATTGACATTCGTTTGTTGTATAAATTATTATATGGGATTGATTTGATTTAAATTTACTTATACATTTTACGGAAATGAGAACAAAAAATTTTTAATTGTACTTTCCAGGTGGACTGTCCCTTTACAACAGCTCTGAGCAGAGGTATTATCGACTAACAATAGCTGATTTCATAAACATAAGTCACGGACAAAGAAATCCAAACAATAATTTGGAAAAACATCCAAAGAAAGACACTGGGGCTGAGGTAGCCAAAAACGAAATAAATAGTCCAAAAAATCTACCAATCAATTCATCGAAAAAAAATTCCGGTAGTGGAACAAGACCTCAAAAATTTGTAGGATCACAACAAAAAAAGGTGCACAAAAATGTACCTCATCACGAAAAAGTAAAACAGAAAAAAGTTTCAGGGCCGTGCAATGCTAAGAAAGCTTCAAAAAATTGATTTTATTGCATGGGTTATTTTACAATGGTTATGTCAATTTTTTTTTTAAGATCTTAAAGAACGAATTCTTCCTTTTTTACTATAAAACATCAACAAATGTTGTTTTTATTAAATATTAATTGTGCCTAAAATGTATAATTCAATAAGTGCGATGACTGTAACTAGTATAATTTTCAATGTAAAATAATTAGCATTAGGCAGAAAAATTTTCTATCATTAACAAATAAAAAAAGTTGTTATTTTTTTTACAATCTGAACTCACATTGCGTTGTCAAATTATAATTTTAAGATAAACATCTCCACCAAAATAAAACTCTCAAAATTTTTTTCTTTTGGGCCTTTGAATCATCCCAATCTGCCTGTACAAAACAATGTATGTAAATGTAAATCAAGCTTACGCAAACAACTTGTGCGAAAAAAAAAAAAAAAAAAAAAACCACGTAGAGATAGGTATTTGCAGCTGCTTGACACTCACTCGGGCGTGCGGTATCTCTGTTGACTGGCAATCGGTAAGCGTGATAAGAACTCCAGTATCGCATTCAACGCGAAACGTTTGACTCCTTAGTTCTGTGCATCGCTTCAGTTACACTTGACTTTGTAATTTTTTTCCATGTAATTATTTCACGTGTATAAATAGAAACGTCAAGCTAGTAAAATGCGGGTGGCAGTCGTGGGCGCAGGTGTTATCGGCGTCACCGCGGCCGTCGCGGTGAAGGAAGCTTTTCCGACCTTCGAGGTAACAGTGTTTGCCGAAATCTTCACTCCTCACACAACGGGTGACGGGAGCGCGGGACTCTGGGGACCCTTTGTTCTCGCCGACACGGATCCTAGGAAAATTGTGTAATGCTCGCTTCTATCGGTGCCTTATTTGCTTGATAAACATCTCGGGCTGGAATCTAACGTCTCGAAGTATATTCTTGATTTCGGATCTGATTTACTCTACTTTCGTTCCCACAATTTCAAATGTAAGAGCTTAAAGAATCGGACCGTTGCACTTTCGATTCAATACAAACCGATCGAGCTTTACTTGCCACGATTTAATTGGATGCACGACAAAAAACCAAAAATAAATATTTAGGTGAAATTTGATTACACACATTCCAGAGAATGGTCTCTGCTGACGCATAAGTGGATGAAGAACTTTTGGAAAAGCGGTCGGGCAGCGGAAACCGGTGTGTCTCTGCTGCCGTGTTATCGGCTCTCGTGTAAAAGCTACACAAAACCAGAATGGCTGTCGGTGGTCTATGGTGGCTGCGAGTTGACGGAAAAAGAGCTGAAAAGATTGAGCAAGGCGAACAAAACCGAGTACACGTAAAATATCCACGCACCAACTTTTTTTCTGAGAATTTTTTTTTTTTTCAAAGATTCTAAGGGGCAGATTTTGTCATTGGGTGAACGCAAAATACATCGATATTATACAAGTTGATGATTTTCAGAGGTGGTGTACACTTCGTGACGTTCACTTGCGAGCCTGTAAAATTATTGCCTTACTTGATGAAAAAGCTCGAATCGATGAATGGACAGTTTGTACAACGAAAAATCACGGACTTGAAACAATTGGGGGAAGAAGGCTTCGACATTGTTATCAATTGTACTGGTTTCGGATCGAAAGAGCTTGTGGGCGATAAATCTGTCAGTCCAGTCAGAGGACAAGTTATGAGAGTAAGTATATACAAATTAAAGTGAAGATAACATGAGAGCTTCCTACAGTATCGATTGTGCCGTTTTGATTTTATTGCATTGATTCTTGACATGTTTAAGAATACAGTAAGCCTAAAACTTCTTTTGCTTTATCGAGTGTCAAGAACGTCTCGTCAACTCTTCTTTTTTCATAAAATAGCCATTTATTTGTTAAACAACGTTTTTAGGCGAAAAAACTATAACTAGTAAAGTAGTTGCTTCTAAATACTCGATCCAAAATATAACAAAATTCATTCGAGATCAATTAATTATTATATTGTTTAAACATTTATTCAAGAATTTTCATTGGACAAAACTATTAAAATAGTTATAATTTCATGGAAGAAAAGAGATAAAAAACTAAAAAATGTCGACATTTAAAAAAATTTGAATCCAGATGTCTATACTTACAAAATAATCACTATGATACTAGTACTTTTGTAAACCCATAATTATTTATCAATTTTCGTTTGAAAATTGTGATATCACTGCATAAATAAATAAATTTCTGTGAGTTTAACAAGCGTTCGAGAAATTTTACGGTTTGAGAATGTTAATAACGATCCTCACAAAGTGTGAGCATTATGTAATTTCGATATTCCAAATAATAACCAAATTCAGATTTTTTTTGCGCTAAACTTTTGTTATTTTAGGTAAAAGGGCCTTGGTTGTTGGAATGCACTCTAGAAGAAGGTCACCACGGAAATTATGTGATTCCAAAGTAAATTTTTTACTTCTATGTATATATACTTACAATTTCTGGAAAACAAGATTTGCTCAACTATTCCAAATTCCATACATAAGACATTTTTAAAGTATAACCAAACGGAAGATTATAACCATGTTCTTGTTATTCGTACTCTGATAGTACACAATGTTAAAAAAATATTGCTTCTAAAACTTTAAAACGTTTAAAAAAAAAGATGTACGTACAAAAGCATCAAAAATACTTCTTGTTTCTTAGAAAACTCCTGTTTACTGAAAAAATTTTTTCAATCGTAAACGATGCATTGAATCTGCATACTAGATAATTTTCTTTCGTATGGTACAATTAATTTATATTTTTTTTAACTGAAATATTATTATATTTCAAT